CCGTGGCTAAGCATCCCCGCTGCAGCAGCCCTTGGCAGCTCCAGTTTCCTGTAGCGGGGGAGTGCTGGAAACTCGTCTCCATTCCCCGAGCTTCTGGCACCCTGAGTGTAACCACAGCCTGGGACCTGCTGCAGGGCATGAGTGAAATGGATTTGGTGGGTCTCACCCACCTTTTGAAGACCAGTTTGACCTAACCCATGGTGTCTATACACCTATCAAAAAATCCCTGAAAACCCCAGGGACAGAGCATCAGGTCTGATTTGGGGTACGTCAGTCACACAGGACACTTTGCATGGTGGCCCTCTGCCCAGGGCAGCAGCCTGGCCTCTGCTCTTTGCCCAGGTAGGGCTCGGCGTGACGCTTGCAGGACGTCATACGTGTGTGGCACTTGCTGAGGAGTGGGGCAGGGATGCTCTGCTCCTGGGGGCTGGTGCCCAAGGAGCACTCCGGGCCGTTGGCATCGTGCCCCAGTGCCTGACTTGCTGTGTTTCTTCTGCAGTCCTCAGCCCCGAAAACGGATGCTGTGACCATCGGCCTGCGGCCGGGCATGAAGAAGCCTGAAGCAGACGGCTCCGCTCCCCACCGGGTTGGCACCACAGACACAGCCCAGGTGACATGGTGGCTCCATCCTCCTGTGGCCCTGCTCCCCGATGGCTCTGCCGAGCCTCAGTCCAGCTAAACCTGTCCCCAGGCAGCAGCGCTGGGAGGGCAGGTGGCCGAGCGGGCTGGTCGGGGGCCTCTGCTCACCCTTGTCTTGCTGGAGTCCCCAAAACGTCAAACCAAAGCCCATCCAGACATATCCTGTGTGCGTCCCTGTCCCCATCTGCCATGCCGCTGGGCAGCGCTGGCACATGGAGACGTCTCCAGAGGGTGACGGCCACCATACATGCTGCACCGCACGTGTCCGTGGCATCATGGCCCTCCCCGGCTTCCCCTGGCAGCAAGGACAGCTGCACCGTCCCTGCAAGTGTCACCCCCTCCCTGGCACCCCCAGGCTCACCAGGTTTCCTTTGCCCCGGCAGGTGGATGGAGGCACCCCAGGCAGCAGGGACACCACAGCCATGGCTCACGCTGGCACCGCAGAGACAGCGCTGGCGACCTCAGTAAGCGGGGCTGGCCCCTCGAGGTGGGGAAGCCGCTGTCCCCTGCGGTCCCTCTGCTCCGGGGAGGGTGACCAGAGCCGGCTGTGCTGGGGGGGGACCCTGCCCCACCAGGGATGTCCGCGGAGGGTGACCTGCCGCGTTTGCCCCTGCGTTGCATCCAAGCCAACGCACCCATCTGCTCTTCTTTCAGGATCACAGCATCAAGGCTGGGAAAGCGGCCGTTCCCACGACAGACCTTCGCTCCCTCTCACCGGTGAGGGGGGGATGTGGCACCATCGGCCAGGCCAAGTGGTGGGGAGGGAGGGAGGGGGCCCTGCGGGGCTGGGGATGGGCTGGGGTTGGTCCCACAGGGCCCCCTCCCGCGTTCCCAGCACTGGCACCCTTGGCTGGTGTGTTGGTACAGGGAAGAGCAGAAGGGTGCTCAGAAGGTTGGGGAGCGAGGTGGTAGGGGACCCCCTGCCCGTGGCCTTTCTCCTGTGCCAGATGCACCTTGAGCATCCGCTGGAGGAGGGTAATTCCAAAAAAATAGCCCAGTCCCTGGTGAAGTCTCCCAGCAGGCTGAGATATCTTTAGCCCTGGGAGTCCTGCCTGGCCACCCAAGGCCACACTCAGTCGCCTGACTCCCAGTGGAGGTGGTGGCCATCAGCAACGCCTCACGCTGCCCCAGGCTCGTCACTTTGTGCAGCAGGGAGAACACGCCTGGCGCTGCGTGGCTGGGATGCAAAGCGGGATGGACAAAGCTAGAGGCAGCCTGAGAGCTCTGCACTTAGGGTGGCCCTGAGGATGGACGGGGAAGGGCAGAACGCAGCCATGAAATCATCTCCCCGCCGCAGGGGAGTTGCGGTTCAGGTCCAGTTGGAAGCACGGTGCAGCGTCTTTTTTTCCCTTGCCGTGCTCTCCCGTCCCATGCTTGGCTGAGTAGGCGCATCCCGGTGGGAAGGTCCCAGCCCTTCGGGAGCCAGCACTGGCGGCTCCCCTGTGGCAGCCCCGCTGACACCGCTGCTCTCTGTCCCGCAGATCACCAGCGGCTCCGCTGGGAAGGAAGTGCTCACCAGCATATTCAGTGCCACTGCAGAAACCCTCTCCACTTCCACCACTACCCACGTTACCAAGGTAAGAGCAGCTCCGAAGGGGGCAGCCGGGGGCTCCTGATGCAAGCCACTGGAATTTGAGGATGGGTGGATTCATCATAGAATCACAGAACGGTTTGGGTTGGAAGGGACCTTAAAGACCATCTGGTTCCAGCCCCCCGCCATGGGCAGGGACACCTTCCACCAGACCAGGGTGCTCAAAGCCCCGTCCAACCTGGCCCTGAGCACTGCCAGGGATGGGGCAGCCCCAGCTTCTCTGGGCAACCTGTGCCAGCGCCTCACCACCCTCACGGGGGAGAATTTCTTCCTTAAATCTAACCTAAATCTACCCTCATTCAGTTTAAAGTCATTACCCCTTGTCCTATCACTACATGTCCTTGTAAAAAATCCCTCCCCAGCTTTCCTGTAGGCCCCTGCGGGCACTGGGAGGCTGCTGGAAGGTCTGCCCGCAGCCATCTCTGCTCCAGGCTGAGCACCCCAGCTCTTTCAGCCACATTTATGCTGTGCTTGGTACAGCAGAAAATGCCCCTCTCCTTACAAGCCGAAACAGCGTATGCTGTCCCGTGGGGGATGGCGAGCCAGCGCAGTGGCCCGAGCCCCACTCTGGGCGCCCCGTGCCCAGTTCAGCCCTGCAGCGCTGCCCGTGCCATCCAGCCAGGCGTGACCGCGGGGGCCTGCAGGCAAGGACAGCCAGGCGCCGGGTGTTCGTCACCTGCGTACCACCCACGGGGGGGCTGTGAGCATGTGCTGTGCCCGCCTCTACTCGCTGGTAGATTGGGAGGGCAGGGAGGCGTTGGGGCGAGGAGGAAGAGCAGGTCGCTGACCTCCTGAAGCCAGCTGCAGGGGTGGAACGGACTCTGAATGAGGCTGCCAACAGCGTGCGTGTGAGTCCCTGCCCGTGCAACTGGGGTGAGAGTTCCCAGACGCACCTAGAGCCAGACCCCAGGTCCCCATGGCCCGAGAAGCCCCCAGCACCAGTGCGGGAGCATCTGGCCCCGTGTCAGCTGCGGGAGCTGCGTGTGCATGGGGTGTGTTGGGTTTATTAGAGCTGGAGTGGCACAGGCAGGGGGGAGTGATGTTAGGAAATGAAGGAGACGAGGCTGCATCAGAGGACCTTACCCGTGGCCATCTCATTCCCAAATTAAGTGCAGGTAAATGAAAGCAGAAGCTCAGCGAGGGACCTGAGCAGGAAGGAGGGCTGCTTGGTGCCCGCCACCGGCCCTTTTCCTTTCCTCCCCACCTGTGGCCAGCTGTGTCTTGCCGTTTCTAACCAGCACCGAGTCAAGGGTAGTGGGAGATACGCTAAATTACGGGGGGAGTTCCTAAGGTGATGCTGGCACTGCCCCTCCTCCCGTGGGCAGAGCTACGAGCGCCAGGAGCTGGCTTGTCGGGCGGCTGAGGGTGAGCGCTTTCCTTCTTGTCGTGCAGACTGTGAAAGGAGGGTTTTCAGAAACCCGAATAGAGAAGCGCATCATTATCACAGGAGACGAAGACGTGGACCAGGACCAGGTAGGAGCAGGATGCCCCGGCTTTGCCTGGCTCTGGCTGCCCCCGGCTGCAGCGCCGCATGCTTCTGGTTCTGGCTCATGCCTGTTTGCTCCTTCTTTCCGAAAGCTGACCCCTGAGGCCCCAAACCCGCCCACGCTGTCCGGCAGCGCAGGTCCCCACGGGGTGCAGTGGCACACACGTGAAGCCCAGCCCTGCTCCCATCAGCGCCCGCTGGAGCAGTGAGCAGTGGTGAAGGTTACGTCCCAGCACAGAGCCCAGTGATGGGATCACCTTTTTATTTCCTTAAAACACGTTTCCAGTTGCCCTTTCTCTGTTGAAATACTCCAGTGACCCCGGTTCTTCCTCTCTTTCCCGCACAGTTTCACTACGGTCTGACTCACTCCAAGCGACGGCGTTTTGCATCTGCCTCCGCGACACAGGAACAAAAAGTGACAAACCTGTATGAGGAAATAACAGAGATTGACACAAATCTCTAGGGCCACAGGGTCATTTTCCTGAGGCCTAACCCTTTGGGATTTGTTGCTTAAAAAGAGAAATTAAAGAGCTAAAGTATTTAAAAGGCTCTAAAATAATTTTTAGATTTTTCTAGAATTATAATAACAAATTTAATTAGATTATTATTGTAGATTTTTCTAGGGGTTTGCTGCATAGAGGATTGCTGCCGTTCCTTTGTTTGGGTTTCAGTAGGGAGCATGGGACATAGCGCATCCCTACAGAACAACCCAGCCAGAGGAAGGCAGCGCGCGCGGCATCCCAGCGCCGTGCGAATGCCCCATCAGTGGTGGGCTCCAGCCTCTCCTGCTGGGCTGCTGGGGCTCAGCGTGAACCTCTGCATCCCTGTCCTCCTGGAATCCCGCTCGGTCCAGCTGCTTTCTGCCCACTCATTCTGTCTGTCTGAGGGAAACGTGCCGGATTGCGGGAAGTGACAATAAACGCTTTCATCCTTCTGGTTTCTAGGCGCTGGCTTTAGCAATCAAAGAGGCAAAACTACAGCATCCCGACATGCTGGTAACCAAAGCTGTGGTGTACAGAGAAACAGAACCTTCTCCAGAGGAGAGGGACAAGAAGCCTCAGGTAGGTGGAGAAGTTACGGGTATGATTTATACCTGCTGCGTAAGGGGGGGATGTAACTGGGCCAGCGTCTCGGATCCCCACCAGCCCCAGGTGCTGTAGGCATTGCTGCTCCTTGGCACTAAGTGGCAGCTCTCGGCCAGCAGTCCCCGTGCGATGGTGGCTCCGGGCACGGCCACCTGGTTGCAGTTAGAAAGCCGGTGCCATGCCGCCAAAAGCAATTCTGCAGATGTCACCGTGCTGTCCTGCTCAGCAGAGGGCTCAGGTTTGCACGTAAAGAAGCAAGGATCTGCTTGTCCCCCTGGGCCGGGGAGGGTTGGCTACAGTCCAAAAGTATCAGAGCAGTGTTTGCAAAAAAAGCGGTTTCTTTAGTCCCACTCAGCTCCCCCGGTTGTCTTTTTACACACATGCAGGTGCACACAGGGCTTGCACCTCCCCGCAGGTGCCCCGAAGCAGTTGCAGCCCCAGACATGCTTCTTCAGGGCAAAGCTGGCGTGAGGAGTCCCGCCGCCCTCCACGCCCCCGCTCTGCCCCCCGCTCGCCCGTCAGCCGGCTGCCGCAGCTTTCGGCGGTGGCGCGGCCCGGCAGCGGCATCAGAGCGGCTGCGGGGCAGAGGAGTGCGGAGGAGAGCGGGAGCTTTTGAAGGCAGCTTCACTGCTGAAAATCGCATGAGGAGCTCTGTCCCCAGCCAGGCTGCAGGTGCATTTCAAGAGGCCTCTTTGGAAATGTGATTTTGTGTTTCTTTATCATATGAGGATTTTGATTGGCAGCTTTTAAGCTTGGAAAAGCGACCAGCTCCGTTGCAGCTCGGAGGGTCAGAAGAGGCTCTTGCATCTGCCTAATCTTACCTGCTATGGCACAGTCCAACCAAGCACGCCCAGACACATCTGCGTCGCTTAGGGAGCCACCCCGTGTTAATGGAGTGGCTTAAAGTGAGGGGGCAGCGACTCCCCGTTACCTCCCCCATACACCAGCCCCAGCCCAGGGAATTAAGAGTTCCTGCTAATCACCAGAGGCCCTAGTAATTAAGTGCAAACTGCGGCCCCGAGTGCTTGCAGCTTTACTGTCCAGTGCCCTCACACAAAGAGGAGCCCGTTTGTAGCGGAGGAAAGCCGCACCCCGTGACGGGTCGTTTCCGTCTGCCCTGTACAGGAATCTTGACCAACGTCTTCATGGAAGTCGGCGTCTGCGTTCAAACCTGGAGAACAGCGGAGAAGGAGCCTTCATGCTGGATTTGTCAGCAAGACATAGACATCCTGGCTGCAATGTTCATGGCGAGAGACAAAAATTTTTAAAAAAGGAATAGCAAATATATTATATATATATATACATACATACATATATATATATATATATAAAAACAGGAAACAAAACGCATCCTTGCACTGCTGCTATATGCTGGAAATGAATAGCAAACACCAACAACAACAAACAAAGCCAACCCTCTTTGCAGACAAATTGAAGAATTTACTGGATTGGTGATAAAATAAGATTTAAAAAATCATAATAGTAACAATAATATTGTTAACGATACAATAAGCCACCATCTTGCATGTTACATTAAAGGATACACAATCATGAGTTCATTTGTTGTACACTGAATGGAAAGGAAAACTGCTTTGCAACAAAGCAAGAAATAAGCAAACGTAAATAAAAAACCACAAGCAGAAGCAAAACCATTCCCCACCTCTGGAAAGAAGAGAGAAAAACATTGACTTTATTACCTTAGAGTTATTTTCCGATTCGCAAGTGTGGTTTCGCCCTTATCCTCATTCCATGCCGGTTCTTTTGCATCTTTTGGGGTTCTGTTCACTCTTCCCCTTCCGTTCGTTATCTTCTTCTCTGTGCACTTGTCCAACTCTTGTTCTCTGAAGGTATTTAAGAATGGATTTCATTTCAAACAAAACAAATGGTATGTATATGGTTTCTCATTTATAAAGAAGCAGCCTGTAGGGGGTTTCATATGGATGTGCATTTAAGTTATGTATATTATTATATATAACGAGGGGGGAGGGAGGGAACAATACTGAAATAATCCAACAGTGCTGGTAAATATGATGACGACATTTTTAAATTATTAACTCTTTGATTGACTGTGGTTGGTGTATTTTGAGACTCTTAGATCACACGCGGGACTCCCAGTCCTGCAAGAAGAGAACGGGGAAGGTTTCAGCCACTGCTGTTTTGGGGGGGAAAGGGAGAGGGCGAGAGACGGGCGACGGCCCGCCGGCTGATCTGCAGTGTGTGGTGGTTGGATGTGGAGGGGCAGCGGTGACTTGGAGGGGCAGGGAAGGAGGCTGAGGCTGCGGCTAGCAGCCGCAGGGCTGCGTGCGTCGCTCCTCTCCAGCCCGCTGAGCCGTGCCGGTGGTTGGGGTGGTTTTGCTTTGTTTCTGGATCCCAGTAATGAAGTTACTCGAGCTTTGTGGTAGGGTCGAAGGCAGAGGGGTTGTTTCTGCCCTGCCTCCCCCGCTGCCCGGGGTGCGATGGCAGGGGCTGCCCAGGCGCTGCGGGCTGGGGACAGCGATGGCGGTCCTTCCCCTGACCTGCCTAGGGATGGGCAGCGGAGAGACCCTGCTGCCTCCATCACCGCAGAGCGTCCCCAGCGTCCCAGGCTGGGCGAGAGAGCCCGGGCCCTCTGCGTCGGAAGGCGCGTGCCGAGGTGTCAGCGGAGCTGCCTTCCCCCAGCTCATCCCAGCTCGGCCTTTGGCCACAGGCTTCCTCTACGGCTGCCTTTGAAAGAGGATCATGGGCCAAGCACAGGGCCTTGTACACTGTGAACCAGGCAGTTAGGGTAGGCTTGGAACCAAAATCAGAAAGGAAAGGAAATAAATGGGTTTCCTTCTTGGAATTGTCTCTAGCTCCTGCGGAAACAGAAGGGCCCACGATTCTGCACCATTTTGCCTTTAGTCTCCCACCCCTCACACAGACTGTGCCCAGAAATAGGTGCGTTTGCCAGGTCCTGCAATGGCTCGGAGGATGACGGCGAGCAGGAGAGCCTGCGCCGCGAGGACGCTGTGGGCAGACCCCGCTCACCGCCTGTGCTGTCCTGGGAGAGAGCCTGCTCCCAGGCAGCCGCGGTTCACCAGCTGCTTGCTAGTATGTCCCCGTGAAGTCTGTTCTCCTTCTGGCAGAGGTTTCTCCTGCAAGCACGAAAGGCGTGAGCACTTGGGAAGTGGAGAGAGCTGCTTGGGAAGCGGGGAGAGCTGCTGGCTGGCGCCAGCGCTGCCAGGTCATGAGGGTCTCCCCAGCTTCCACCGAGCAACTTCAGCCACCTTTAGAGAGCCGACCCCCAGCCGAAAAAGAGTTAAGGCAGTTGCAAAGAGGCTAGTTTTCTCTGTTTTCTTTTTTCAATACACCGAAACCAGCTGTAATCGGCAGTGGCGCTTTTACAGGGAGAGGCGGGGTGGCGAAGGACCCGTGGCCCGCACACGGCGCTGGTGTTCATCAACACCCTGCGTTTCGTACTCGGAGGAGCCCGCCTGGCTTTGACACCGTTACAACCCACCAGAGGCTACCGTGAAACGAGGTGCTTGCTTTTGACATTGCGTACAGTTACAAAATCGAAGGTTACCGTTAAAATGAGTGGCCTTACAGCGTTAGGCTTGATGTGCGCTTGGACTGAGATGAGTTACGTTTGGAGTGAGCAGATCCAGTCCATGGCTTCCGCAGCGTGTTTAATGGGTGACAGTGTTTAAAAACTTTAAAAAAAAAAGACAAAAAGGAAAGAAAAAAGCTCATTGCTTGTTCGCCCGGCGAGGCGTGGGTTTCTGCTGCTCAGCAACGACTGAGGCGCCCGCGGGCTCAGCTCCCCCGGTCTGCCCCTCGCCTCGCTCCGGTTCGGATGGCCGATCACTGCTTGTTTTCTTCCAGGGGCCTTTCTCTTGAAAGGGGTGGGAGACACGAGTGCCTGTTTTTACCCGATCCCACAAATTCATTCCAAACCTGGCCTGCGATTGCATGAGTAATAATAACAGTAACAATAATAATAATAATATTTATTTTTATTTGAGAAGCACCTTACCAACCAACTGCAACGCTCTGTTGTTTCTTCACTAACTCTCCTTTTCTCTTCCCTTGTTCTCCCTCTCCCCCCTTCGGTCACGCTCATTTTCAGTGCTCGGTGATGTATGCGTGTGTGCTCACTGTTCTTGTATTCAATAAAGGTGAAATAAATGTGTTTGATGCTAAACCAGCTTAGGGCCTCAGTGGACTCTTTCCTACCAAGAGGATGGAGAAGTGAAGGGGGGACCTTGCAATGGGGTCTGCCCATGGAAATGCTGCACTCTGCTCTGTCTAAAGCGAAGATGCCGCCAGGTTGGGTACTGCAGCCGCCGCTGCCCCTCGTATGCATGCGTGGGGCAGCGTGGGTGGCTGTGAGGGTGCTCAAACCGCAGAGAGAGGAGGCGGCAGCTGCCCCTGAGGAGCCTGACTCCGTCTGTGGGCCTGGGAGGGGCGATGTGGCGCTGGTAGGGCACCTGTCCCGCTGCGGGGCCTTGTATGTCTGTCGCTGCGAAGGTCTCTGTGCGTCTGTCCCACTGCATGGGCCTCCAGGTGCCTGTCCCACTGTGGGGCTCTCGGTCCGTCTGTCCCACTGTGGGGCTCTTGTCCCTCTGTCCTGCTGCAGGGCTCCCAGTCCCTGGCTGGGGGGGCCAGAATCTGTCAGCTGGGGAGTCATAGAATCACAGAATCATTGAATCATTTAGGTTGGAAAAGACTTTTAAGATCATCGAGTCCAACCGTTAACCCAGCACTGCCAAGGCCACC